CCCGCCCGCGGGCGGCCATGCTCATCACGCTGTGTTACCTGTACTTGTGGGCGCGATGGGGGTGCCGGCCGCTCGCGCTTGTCCGCACCACCGTGCGGAGGCTGTTCGCCTCGCGCTGCTCCTTCACCTTCTGCGGCGCGGGCGCCCAGCCGAGGGGCGCCCGCGTATGTCTGAGCCGTGGCGGCCGGGTCTTCTGCGTCGGCGAGACCCAGGTGGGCGGGCGCGGGGCGCGGGCAGGTAGGCGGGCGCCCGGTGGCTGGGAGCCGGAAGCGCTAGCCGGACCCAGCGCCCGGCCGGGCAGTTCAGGTGCGGAGCGCAGAGTGCCTCCGGGCGCAGGCCGGAGGAGGGAGCCCCGAGTAGGGCGCTTCGAGGCCGCGCTCCTGGCCAGGACTGGCTCGAGTGGGTTCCCCCGTGCACTATGCCTTTGGGACCTCGGATAGGAGCCCAGAGATCCGAAACCATGAGAGGGGACCAGGGCGTGTGTGCAGACGCATGGCTCTTGACATTCCAAAATAAGCGTGTTCCTGTGTGTGCCCGCAGTTGGGGATTATCACCTGCACACTTAAGAGCAGAGCTCACCTCGAGTGTTTTTCTGACATCTTCACTACATTCCGGGCTGGCCTTTGATTGGAACTGAATTCAGCTTTCTCACAAATAACTCAGTGTTGACAAAAACTCTTTTTCCCCCTTCCATCTTCTGTGTTATTCATTTACCAAGTGTGGCGCTCCTTTCCTTCTCTTGAAATCTTTTTCATTTTGGTTTACACACAATCTCTGTTTTGTGGCCCAGTACCGGCAGACCCCGGGTTACAAACATCCAATTTATAGACAACTCATACTTAAAACAGACTACCATAAACCCTATTATATTAAAAATTCGAGTTAAATACAATGGTTTGTAATACCAAATGCACGACTACTTTGTGATGTGCAGCTTTTAAATCATCAAAGCGGTTTCAAACCTTTTCTTGCATTGACTCGTTGGCTTTGAGTTGATCGCAACACATAGCTACTCTATAGGACAGAGTACAACAGCCCTATAGAGTTTCCAGGGAGCTGCTGGTAGATTCAAACTGCTGACCTTTGGTTAGCAGCCGAGCTCTTAACCACTGTGCCACCAGGGCCCTGGTGAAGTAAGGTTAAATAGAAACCATATGCATCTGTTCTGACTTACCTAGAAATTCTTTAAGACACACTTAGGAGCGGATCTCATTCGTAACCCGGGGACTGCCTGTACATAGAAAGGTAAACTATATACTAAGACAAACATTTGACTGTCTGATGCTAAATATGATTCTAAATAAGAACCGTATATACCTGTTCCGACTTACCTACAAATTTGACTTAAAGACAGATGTGGGAACTAATCTCATTTGTAACCTGGGGACTGCCTGTATTTTGGATGGGGAGAAGCCCTGGTGGCTCAGTGGTTAATCACTTGGCTGCTAACAGAGAGGTTGCTGGTTGGAACTCACCAGCCACTCCATGGGAGAAAGATGTGTCAGTCTGCGCCTATAAAAATAACACCTTGGAAACCCTGTGGGGCAGTTCTGCTCTGTCCTATAGGGTCACTATGAGTCGGAATTGGCCAGACAGCAATTTTTTTCTTTTTTTTGACAGGGTGGTAGCTGCCTAGTGGATGGACTGATAACAGATCTGCCACCTACACCAAGACGTAGGCCAGTTGTTCAGTCTCTGTAAAATCTCTGTTCCTTTTCTGTCAGAGGGAACAACTGTTCTTTCAGTTCAACTGTTGGAAATGGACCTGACTTCTCACTGCCGTTCTGAGCAAATAGTTTTCACTTACACTGTTTTCATTAACATTTAAAGATATTTTTCTCTTAATCGATGTCTTGTCCTTTGAATTCCTTCTAGACATTTGGTTCATTTTTACCATTAAATGAGATTTTCTACGTATGTAAAACTGTAATACCCATGTAGGAATTAAAGTCTTCTCTCAGATTTGAACGTTTTGTTGGAGTGTGTGCCAAGGAGCCCTGGTAACTCAGTAGTTAAGCACTCGTGTGCTAACCGAAAGGTTGGCAGTTGGAACCCATCAGCCCCTCTGAGGGAGAAGGACCTGGCTG